CGGGATCTTGGGCACGCACGCACACGCGCCCGGCGTGAGTTTTAAGCCACCGGGTCCGGGACACAAACCACGGTCGACTACGTGGGAGTCCAGCGACATAGCTATTACGCTAACTGCTGGTTCCCGAGTGTGCAAATTTCTAACAGTCTCATAGATGTCACAAGAGTTTTTTGAATATATAGTTTATTTGAATCAAAATCCAAAGATGTCCAGATTGTGATTGGCTGTTCTTTTAAGTTTCTTTTAAACTACATTGTTCCCTTTTCATCTTCTGTTTTTCTTTTCAATAAATTTATCTCATCTAGAGTTTTCTACACTCTGGATCTCAGTGATTATATGTCCATACTGTAGGTTAAGTATTTCCTATAAATTGTTCAGTAGTCGGATGCAGAAACTTTTAGGTTTCATTTTGAGGGCAAGATTACTTCATTGTGGTTTTGCGCACTCCCTTGAGGACCCACAGGATGTCTGGCTGCCCGCTTTATGTGGAGTAAGGACTATTGCTTTTATTTAAGAGATATTTTTGCTATAGGGTGCATGCACTCACCGGAGAGAGACACGAAGTGAGAAATCACCCCCCAGGGGGAATGGTCATGTCACAGTCCCTTCTCCGTTCTCCTCTCGGGATCTTGGGCACGCATGCACATGTGCCCAGCGTGAGTTTAAGCCACCGGGTCCGGGACTCGAACTGCGGTCAACTACATGGGAGTCCAGCGACATAGCCATTATTCTAACTGCTGGTCCTTCGATAGTTTTCTATAAAGGTTTTTTCTCTTTAAGTCATTTGTCTCCACTTAGGTATTGGCTTGTTCTTCCATCCCTCCCCCCAATTTGTTTGCTTGGGTTTCTTTCTTTCAGGTTTACCCACATGTCTAGTAAGTTTGGCTCTCTATTCACAGTTAGGAGTGGGGGACATGGACGCTCTTTGAAAGCTCTGTGTCCATGAGGAAGGCTCGGCAATTTGAGTTTCAATATAGCTCCCCTGAGGAAGACCTAGCTCAGCTGTTTTTGGAAACCTCCAGTGTCAGTCATTTTTGTTTTTCCCTCCTGGACCTCTGGCCAGTTTTTCCAGAACCAACTCTTCTCGTCCTCTGGTGAGAGGGCCGTGGTCTGGCTCCTGGCGTTTGGGAGTCTTAGGGGAGGAGGGCTGGGCATGGGGAAACAGTCTCATCATACCATGTGCACTTAATCTTCCTGTCCTCAGGATGGTGACCCCCTCAACTGTGCCAACTGCCCTCCATCCAGAAAATGTCTGTTTGACTCTCTCCAGAGAATAACTTTCAATCTTGGGTCAGGATGTGGGAGGGGCAGTCACCCAGCTGTGTGGACTTTAGTTGATTCTTTTTTTTTCCCTTTGGAGAGGTTTTTGCTATAGGGCGTGTGCGCTCGCCAGACATACAGAGAGAGACAGAGAGACAGAAAGCGAGAAATCACCCCCCAGGGGGGATGGCCATGCTGCAATCCCTTCTCCTCCATTCTCCTCTTGGGATCTTAGGCTCGCCCGCACGCGCGCCTGGCGTGAGTTTAAGCTGCCAGGTTCAGGACTTGAACCATGGTCAACTACATGGGAGTCCTGTGACAAAGCCATTACGATAACTGCTGGTCCCAACTTTGGTTGATTCTTATACAGATTTCAACGAATCCTCCTTATTTAACTACTCTCCACTTTTTTTAAAAATAAAAGAATTATCTATTTAATTTTATTAATTATTCTTCTTCTTCAATTTAACTAGAGAGAGAAGAAAAGAGAGAAAGCAAGCCACCAGGTCTAGGACTCAAACTGTGGTTGGCCATGTGAGAGTCTAGTGCCTTAACCACCACACCACATGCCAGCCCCATCCCTCCCCCACTTTTTTTTGAATAATTTTATTCATTCATTTATTTTAATTTGACTAGAAAGACACACACACACACAGAAAGAGAGAGAGAGAAAGAGAGAGAGAGGGAAAATGCGAAAGCAAGCCACCAGGTTCGGGACTCGAACCATGATTGGCCATGTGGAAGTGTCCAGCACCTTAACCACCATGCCACCTGCTGGTCCACCCCTACATTTTTGATCCCACTTCCAGAGGTAAGTAGGGCTACTAACTCATGAACTTTAGAAGTTCTGCCTTTGATTTATTTATTTTTTAGAGAGATTTTTTTTGCTAGAGAGCGTGTATGCTTGCCAGAGAGACAGAAAATGAGAAACATCCCTCAGGGGGATGGCCATGCCACAATCCCTTCTCCTCCATTCTGATCTCGGGATCTTGGGGAACCACACATGCATATGCCCGACATGAATTTTTATTTATTTATTTATTTATTTGAGAGGTTTTTGCTATAGGGCACATGTGCTCACCAGAAAGACAGAGAGAGATGGAGAGACAGAAAGTGAGAAATCACCCCCCAGGGGGGATGGCCACGCCACAATCCCTTCTCCTCCATTCTCCTCTAGGGATCTTGGGCACGCACACACATGCGCATGGCGTGAGTTTAAGCCACCAGGTCCAGGACTCGAACTGTGGTTGACTACATGGGAGTTCAGTGACATAGCATTACGTTAACTGCTGGTCCCACCGACATGAATTTTTTTAAAAAATGATTTTTTTCAACTTTATTTGTTTATTTATCCTAATTTGACCAGAAAAGGACAGAGTGAGAGAGAGAGAGTGAGAGAACAAACTGCTAGGTCTGGGCAATTGGGCATGTGGGAGTCCAGCGCTCCTAACCACCATGCCACCTGCCGGCCCCCAAGCATGACTTTTAAGCCACCCAGTCTGGGACCTAAACCATGACTGACTACATGAGAATACAGTGACCTAACCATTACTCCACCTGCTGGTCCCAGGAATTCAGATAGTTTTGGGCTCACCCCAAGGCTGACTTGAAAAAATTCATTCTCTTTCTCTCTCCAAGTTTCTCTCTCTCTCTTTATTTTTACTTTTGCTGTAGGGCACATGTACTTGCTGGAGGAAGACAAAGAGAGAAAAGGGAAGTGAGAAATCACCCCTGGAGGATGACCATGCCAAGGTCCTTCCTCCTCCATTCTCTCAGGATTTTGGGTTCATACACACATGCGCCTGGTGTATTTTTCAAGCCGCTGGGCCCCGGACTTGAACCACAAAGTTGGCTGTATGGGATCTACCCTCCTTAACCTCCATGCTACCTGCTGGCCCTCTCTCTGTCTTTTACTGTTTGTTCACTCACCTTCCTGCTTCTGAAATATGGAGGCTTTTGCCGTCTTTCCATCCCTGTAGGTATGTGTGTGTATGTATGTGTATATATATATATTTTTTTTCCCCCATGTGAGGATCTATATATTTTTTAAAAATCCATTTGGGGGGACCAACTGTTAGCATAATGGCTATGTCACTGGACTCCCATGTAGTCAACTGTGGTTTGCATCCTGGACCCAATGGCTTAAAACTCACGTTGGGTGCATGTACGTGTGTGCCCAAGATCCTGAGAGGAGAATAGAGAAGGGATTGTGGTGTGGCCATCCCCTCTTGGGGGTGATTTTTCGCTTTCTATCTCTCTGTCTCTCTCTTGTCTGTCTGGCAAGCACATGCGCCCTATAGCAAAAACCTCTCCAAAAAAAAAAAAAATTCATTTGGGAATGGAATTCCTCAAAATCATGAGTTAGTAGCCCTATTTACCTGTGGAAGTGGGATTAAAAATGAGGATGGAGCAGGTGATGTGGTGGTTAGGGCTACTGAACTCCCACATGGCTGACTTCAAGTACCGAACCTGGCAGCTTGCTTTCTGACGTCCCTTCTCTCTCTGTCTCTCTGTAGTCAACTTCAACAAAATAAAAAATAGATAATGGCAATGAATAAAATAAAATAAAATAATTATTTAAAAAAGTGTGTGGGCGGGATGGGGCTGGCAGGTGCTGTGGTTAAGGCACTGAACTCCCCTTTGGGATGTGAGTGGGCAGCTGTGCTCACTCTGGCATCAAAACGGATGTAGATCTCATTACCTCACCTTCCAGATGAGGAAGTTGAGGTTCAGAGAGGTGAAGTAACTTGCGTGAGGACACGCAGCCCATAGATCACAGAGTTGGGGCTGTCCCTCAGATAGCTGCTGGGCATGGAGGACGAGAACTCTGAAGATCAGGACCTGAGCGTCCCAGAGCCACAGCATGGGCTGCTGGTACTGGCAGGGCCTTTGGAGAACAGCAGGTCCAACCCCCTCATTTTATGGGTGAGAAGAGACTCTCCCAGCGTCGTGCAGGAAGCTCATGCAAAACCAAGATGGGAAACACTCCCTCCCATACTGCCCGCTTCTGTGACGTGCTGCGCTCAGTCGTTGGCACAGCAGACACTTACGAAGCACCAGCTGTGAGCCAGGTCTGCACTGCATCTGGGGCTACAGACAGGAGTAAAACATGTCCTCGCCGGACACAGCCTGTGCCCTGCGTCCTGCTGGCTACTGGGCATCCCTGCTGAAGGCCAGGTGGAGGGCAGTAATGACAATGAGCATTTATTAAGCACTTTTTATTTTTTAAGAGGTTTTTGCTATAGGGCGCGTGCGCTCACCAGAAAGACAGAGACAGAGAGACAGAAAGCGAGAAATCACCCCCCAGGGGGGATGGCCACGCCGCAATCCCTTCTTCATTCTCTTCTCGGATCTTGGGCATGCATGCACATGCGCCCGGCTTGAATTTAAGCCATCGGATCCGGGACTCAAACCACAGTCGCCAACTGCTGGTCCCTTAAGCACTTTCTTTATGCCAAGCACTGGTCTGATTCCTTTTCATATTTGGGTACGTTTCGTTCTCACAGTGAGCTACAAGGTAGGTACTAGGACTATGCCCACTGCAAGGTTGAGGGACCGCGGGCTGCAGAGTCTGGAGGCCAAGGGCACGTAGCCCTGGGAGCTGAGCTTGAATCACCATCCTGAGATAGGACTGCCTTGAGGGAGGGAGGCAAAGGGGATAGCAGGGGGGAGGCGGAGGGAGCTGCAGAGGGTGAGCCGAAGGGAAGGGAGCCCACCTAAGCTGCCTCTTTCCTTCTCAGTGCTCAGTGGGGCCTTCCTCTGATAAAGCCTTGACCTTCATGAAGGACCATTTCCTGATGGATGAGCCGGTGGTGGGGACGCCCCTGCTGGTGAAGTCTGGTGTGGAATACACACGGCTGGCGGTGGAGACGGCCCAGGGCCTGGACGGGCGCAGCCATCTGGTTATGTACCTGGGCACCCGTGAGTAAAGGGCCTAGGACGTCCCTCAGCGGGTCAGAGCAGGGGCTGCAGCTAGATGAGGAGGGAAACCTTTGAGTTCATGCCTCGTTTGTCCGTGCGACAAATGTTTATTGAGTAGCTGTTATGTGCCCAGCACCCTGCACGGCTTTGAAAATATAGCAGGGGAGTGGAACAGTCTAGTCCCCTGCTTTTCTGAGTTCTCTCTGGTGGGAGAGAGAGGGAGGTCTCTGGTGGCCTTAACAACAGTGGCTTGTCTTCTGGGGGAGGCCATGTAGAAGGTGGAGAGGATCTTGGGCACGCACGCACACGCACCCAGTGTGAGTTTAAGCCACTGGGTCCGGGACTCAAACTGCGATTGACTACATGGGAGTCCAGCAACATAGCCATTACACCAACTGCTGGTCCATTTTCTTTTTTTTTTTTAATTTTTAAATTTGCTCAGAGAGAGAGAGAAAGGGGATGGTCACACTGCAGTCCTGTCTCTTCTAGTCTCCTCTTGGGATTCTGAGCATGCACACACATGCACCCAGTGTGTTTTTCAAGCTACCACGTCCAGGACTTGAACCAGGCAATCAGCCATGTGAGAGCCAGCTCCCATGCCACTGGCTGGCCCAGGTTCTTTTTTCATAGATGAGGGAACCGTAAGGATCTAGTAGAGGGAGATGGTGAAGAGGTGGGCAGAAAAGGGGATGACTGGCAGCTGTACCTGTACCTGTGTAGGAAGCAGCAGGCTCGAGTGTCGGGCACAGGCTGGCTGTGGGCAGAGGAAAGCCCGCACCTGCTGGGCTGGGAGTGAAGCTGTGGAAGGGGCGTGAGGCCCAGAGAGCTGTGGACTCTGTGTGGAGTGGATCTGAGAGCCCTGTCTCTATTTACTTTATTTTATGCCATAGAGTACATGTGCTCACTGGAGAGAGACAGTGGGGGGGGGACCAGCAGG